CGGATAGCTTCCTGAAGCCTGGAGAGCAAGAGGGGTCAGTGCGCACCGACCCATCTCACTCTCCAGGCTTCAGCGAAAGCCTGCATTCGCCCCATAGGATGCACACACATTTCCCCTTCATTTTTGGAGGGGAAAAAGTGTGTCCTATAGGGCGAAAAATACGGTAATAAAACCATGGAAGACAGGAACAAGGCCATCAAACCACATGTATTATTTACCCAATGGCATCTGAAGGCCAGCAACCAATATGCCAGGCAAATTTCAGGGGGAATGTGTTCAACAGTTATGGTGCCGCCATAGAAAAGACTCACAAACCAATGATAAACCATGGCTTTACATCAACCAAAATAACTTTGTTAAGTTAGCTGGGACAGGTTCAGACATTAAGACAAGCCAAGGTTTAGTGTTACATGTGAATATGGCTACTATATCTGCTATGGAAGTTACATTACAACAGCCTCCGCAGAGATTTCTTTCAAACTTTTAAAAATACTGAGTCACATCATAACATTTTTAAAAGTAAGAATTTAAAATCCCATATTGCTCATGTTAGGAAAATATGAGGAGAAAAAGCAATGAAGTAATGAAGGTCACAGTGCAGCCTGTAGAAAGAGACGGTCAAAGACAACTAAGGTTTCTTCTATGGAAGAGTATATATTCTGAAGCTTCAAATCACACCATAGGTATAGATGTAATGAAACAGACAAGTTATTTCCATAACCAGGCATATTTCTATCTGCAATCATGACCTAAAAATAAGTTTCTTAACAGGTGTTTGTCTTATTTTTACTGCTTGGTAAAAAATAAGAAGTATGGAGTTCAGCCAGATGCAATCGAAGCATTTTATATGCTGCATATAATAATTTATTTTATCTGACAGGTGAGGTCTTCAGTGTTGGATGTGGAGGATGTAATTAGAACAGTGTTCTGAACATACTTGCTATGAGATACCTGAAGTGCCTTATCTTCATCTAGCATCTACAGTCCAAATGAAAGGAGTCAAGTTGGTCTTAAACCTATTTCAAGATGGAGTATTATAGCCTGTCTAGCAGCCAACAAAGCTGGAAGTACGAATCAAAATTTTAAGAGCCTTTAATCCGCTGAGTAATTTACATGTAAAGGTTATTTTTATCTGTCATCTATAACACTGGCCTGAAAGCCTGAAAGGGCAAGATAGACATAAGTAAATAAAATAACATAACCAAGTATTTTTGCTTCAGCAGAAATGAAAGATGAAATAAATAATACCCTGGCTAAAAAAGGGAAATGTTTCTGTGGATAGTGGGTGTAAATTTTGCACCTTCACAGCTCTATTTAAAGCACATAAACACAGACTTGAACAATTATAAGGGGAATGCTCACAGTAACTGTTTGTTGGAGATAAAATTTTATGAACAACTAGCCGAAAGGAAAAGGAAAAAGAATATTAGGAAATTGTTTCCTAATTGTATGATGATTTTATATAAATACGTTTGTGTGTTAAATGCTTCCCCACGCCAACATTTTGTTCCACATTTGAGATGCATTTAAATGACTTTAGGGACGTCTGTTGAGTCATTTTACTGTTCTGTTCACTGGTTAAGATATAATAACAATAATAATATTTTGGATAAGCATGTTTCTTTATAGCGTTAATTCCATAAATTTTCACAATGAGCACTACAGAAAGAGCCTTGAAGAAAGCTAGCTGACATCCACAAGCTAGAAAAGCATGGAATACCTAGTGCACAAATGGAATTCTCGCACTGATTATACTGTTTCTGTATCAAAATCAGAAATAGGCACAGCTTCATTCTCATTTTGATTCACAGTTTCTCGGGCAAAAAGGAGAGTTTGCTCACACTGTAAAACTGAAGAGCAAGGGTTTGTAGGGGGGGAATACGATGACCTCTACAATATTCTCCACAGATCTGTGCATTAGTCATCAGAGTTAAAGCTTTGCCTCTGGAGACCTGAAATCAGCTTCATGTTGCTTGGAGGGGATTAAAAGAATGAATCGCCAAGGAATTCAATAGTGATGACTCAGAACACATATTTTCATTATGGAAATTTCAGTTACAGGTCACTCTATCTTTCCATGCAGCCAAAGTGAGCTGGAAAGAAAAGAAAATGTGAATACAGAGACATAGTCGGATCAAGTAAACTATTGCTGTCTATTATGCTTCTTGGAAGGGTCTATTGCTTTATTCTGTTCATGTGCCTGAATTGATTCCTAAGGATAAAAACTGGATAAAGTGAGCTTTTCAAAATGTGGATATGACCTCCGCCAAGGTGATAAGAGTGTTTTTATAGCTATTATGCTGCTAATTTATTTTTTTCCTCCTCTCAGTTGCCTGCTCCATGCAGAAACACACCAACAATAGGACAAGTCTTTTCTTTGTCTATTATGACATAGACAGCATGTCAGGGAGATGGGCTGTAGATTAGCCCTCTCTATTTAGGTTACCTCTCTGCATTTAGGAAGAAATCAGAACCCAGTCAAAATTCAATGTAGTTTGCAAGATTCTGGAACTCCATGCTGGAGGAGGCCAGGTGAAGCCCTAGCGTGCATGGAAATATCTAAATGTGCAGCTGAGGGCATTGGGGAAATATCCCCTAGGAATGCTAAGAAACGATCAGGCAGTGTTTTGGTTAGTGAAAATGCATCAGCAGAAAAAGCTCCTCAACTTTTCCACTAAAGATAGCCTTTCAAGAACTGAACTTTTATTTCAGGAAAAAAGCACTTGTCTGGTATCAAGATGTCTAAACTGATGCAAGACCGAAAAGGGAGGAATCCTATGGCAAAGATCTTCCAGGGTTAAGAACGAAGGATGCAGCTGATCTCTGGCTGAGCCAGAAAGTCCCCATCCCTGGCTCAGTCAAAGATATGGTGGCGTAACTTGCTCATCCTGGCTCAGCTGAAACTGGCTGAACTTATGCCAGCTTTTGGTGTATAGCATTGCTCCCTACATTGGCTAAGCTCAGAACATACATATCTAAACAATTAAACTCCCAAGAGGTGGTCATATAATTTAAAGTGCTTGAAAACCTGTGCATCCAGCCAACTTCCAGAACCAAATCCTATGCACAAGAAGTTGCCATAAAGTAAGTGGGTGTAAATTAAGCCAGCGGATGCTGCTGTTCTGGCCAACAGAAAACAACCCCTTAAAATAGTGTTCTATGCCAGGTTGCTGGGAACCAAACTGAATGGGCTTAGGATCCAGCCTAACTCCTCCCTCTCTGGTTCTGCCCCCATCATGCTCCTGAAATGCCCCTTTTGCAGGGAGGGGGGCACTTACACTGGTCTTGGATCAAGTTACACCAGCATATCTTTGGATGAGCAGGCTTGGGGACTTAACACTGACTGAGAGTAGCTGAGCCAGAAATCAGCTGGCTGAATCAGAGATCCACTGCACTCTAAGCTGCTCATCCTATGGTTCTTCTTGCCATAGGTGTGCCTCCTTTTTCTCTCTCCTCTCTAATTTATTGACACTGGAAACCTGTAGGAGTGGGGAAAGGCTGAAAACGGCATGGAAGATAAACAGAACAAGTAACATATCTGCCTTGCTGTCTTGGTGGAAACTAATAGAGATGATGTGACCTCCGAAGGGGACGTGGGTGGCGCTGTGGGTTAAACCACAGAGCATAGGACTTGCTGATCAGAAGGTCGGCAGTTCGAATCCCTGTGACGGGGGTGAGCTCCCGTTGCTCGGTCCCTGCTCCTGCCCACCTAGCAGTTCAAAAGCACATCAAAGTGCAAGTAGATAAATAGGTACCGCTCTGGCGGGAAGGTAAACGGCGTTTCCGTGTGCTGCTCTGGTTCGCCAGAAGTGGCTTAGTCATGCTGGCCACATGACCCGGAAGCTGTATGCCGGCTCCCTCGGCCAATAAAGCGAGATGAGCACCGCAACCCCAGAGTCGGCCACGACTGGACCTAATGGTCAGGGGTCCCTTTACCTTTTAACCTCCGAAGACCATCAGAGATACTTAAATAAATAGACAGGAATTTTACAGGAGTGAATGCTATGTTCAAAGGGCTCTTCCACATGTGGTGGACTTCTCTGGCTGTTAAAATATTCCGGGTACGGGAATTCGACAATGTCGGTGATAAAGTGCAACCACTGATGGAGCCTACCAATCCATTATTAGCCAGGCTATGAAATTTCAAAGCCCCTAATCAGGATTAATTTATCCCCAAAATTACCATATTGTTTTTACTACCAGCAACTTGGATTGGAAGAGTCAGATATTGTAAACCCCCTTCAGTTTTCTAGGATTTGGCAAACAGCAGAAAAGTACAGCATACTTATGTGGGAATGTTAAGGATAGCAGGAAAGGATATACTGAATAAGTATTATCCTTCCTTCACTCACGCTAATGAGTGATGTAGCAGAGCAAATTTCCCTCAATGGAAGCTAGTATGCAGATTCATTTGAATCGCTTAGTTAAGATTATTTCCTTGTGTCCCCTTTTGATCCCTCTTAAAAGAATAAAGACAAAAGAGTCTTTCTGAGTAAAGTTTACTCGCATTTCAGTTCACAATTTGATCCCTGAAAGGCAGGCTTTACTTGGTAGTTACATAAAGAAACTGTGAGTTTGTCTCAAATGGAGATTGAACTCATGTGCTGCTGGCTGAGAACCAGCAGACAGAAAAATTAATTAACAAAATGGCTGCAGGAGAGCAGCATGGCAGCAAGAGATAGAACAACAGTAGTATCAAGACAGCAAGAATCAAGACGAGCTGAGAAAATGGCTGCATGACCTGGCTTTTTTATGGAGTCAGCCAGAGCCATGCCCATCTCCCAGATCACATGCAGGGGGAGGAGCTCCAGAATAGTGGAACAGGAAGTTACACTGACTGGATGTCCCCCTGCCTGTGCCCACTCTAGGGAAATAAGGAATGTTGCATTTGACTGCACCAATGGATTACATCCCACAAGTTATTCAGGTATTGTAGCCGTGTTGGTCTGTCATAATAAATAACAATGATGAAAGATTTTTTTAAAAAAATATTGAAAGATGTTCTAGTAGCACCTTAAAGACCAACTAAGTATAAGCTTTCTAGGTATGAGCTTTCGTGTGTATACTTAGTTGGTCTTTAAGATGCTACTGAAACATCTTTCAATATTCTTTTTTTAATCTTTCATCATTTTATCTTTCATCATTGTTATTTATCCCACAACTTAGACATTCTGAAATGACAGCAGTTGAATGGACAGGCAGATTTTTATGGCAGCAATAATACTGTGGTGATCTCCTATTACCATGCGGCTGCTTATTATTTTCACTGTTTATTACTCCTTAAATTTCTTCTTTTAGGGAAAAATTACCCCAAGACAGTGGACAAAATTTTGTATAAAACAGTCCTCAAACAGGTGTTTTTACCATCTTTATTGTTGGCTCAGAGGATTATTATTATTATTATTACTACTACTACTATTATTGTTAATTCATAAAATTTCTATATTGCCCTTCATCCGAAGATCACAGGGTGGTTTAAATATAAAAACCCAAAATACATACCATAACAACAAACAAAAATAATACCCCCAACTATAATTATTTCAAACCCACTGGCCCAAGAACCATAAATGTTCTATATCTAGTAAAACACAGTGGGGTCAGCTAGTACTAAATCAACTAAAAATCTAACGATAGCAACAAAACATTTTTATTTGCAATTAAATCTGCCATTCTGCTATTAATATGTAGAACTTTTGTTAGGGTTTTTAAATAGTAACATGGAGGGGGGGGTAATCCCAATTAGCAGCATTTCCCGCAATAACCTTTCTCAGAATAAATCTTGTGTGTAAGGCTGAGATAGTTACTATAGCAACTGAAGGCAATTTCAAGCCACCGTTAATGAGAAATGCAGTATCTGTTACAGAAGATGCTGCTGGTAACCTGACACAATGTAAAGAATTAGTTACTGGCTCCTTCTACTCCAAAAGCAGCATAAAACTGCCGTACAAAGATGTTTAACATCTTCATTGTTGTTTCACACTCTGCCTAACGCCAAGCGATCCTGGATCACTGCAAAAAGTGCCATGTTAAATCTTTAAGGTATGGATGGATGGTAGGCAATATTTTTCAGAACTCAACCATACTTTACATCATATAATTAACATATAGGTCATAAAGAAATTGGGCAAAACGGAACACGTTTTGTGAATATAGCCAGGGCACTTTGCAAGACAGACCCTCCAAATTATATTCTCCAATCTGAAAAACCCCAAACTATAAAGTTAAAGCGAGGGGCGATTATGCGGCACTCACAAAGGCCCCCATTGTTGGCCCCAAACAGATTTAATTTTTCTAAAAATAAATCTCTAGAAAGGTATGAAGTGTAAGCAATTTCTATGAAATGGTTGCTTCTATCTTTCAGCATCTTAAAAAGCAGAGACATCACCTTGCCAACAAAGGTCTGTTTAGTTAAAGCTATGGTTTTCCCAGTAGTGACGTACGGAAGTGAGAGCTGGACCATAAAGAAGGCTGATCACCGAAGAATTGATGCTTTTGAATTATGGTGCTGGAGGAGACTCTTGAGAGTCCCATGGACTGCAAGAAGATCAAACCTATCGATTCTGAAGGAAATCAGCCCTGAGTGCTCACTGGAAGGACAGATCCTGAAGCTGAGGCTCCAAGACTTGGGTCACCTCATGAGAAGACTCCCTGGAAAAGACCCTGATGTTGGGAAAGAATGAGGGCACAAGGAGAAGGGGACGACAGAGGATGAGATGGTTGGACAGTGTTCTCGAAGCTACCAGCATGAGTTTGACCAAACTGCGGGAAGCAGTGGAAGACAGGAGTGCCTGGCGTGCTCTGGTCCATGGGGTCACAAAGAGTCGGACATGACTAAACGACTAAACAACAACAACATCTTTCAATGTTTTTAGCCAATGAGTGATGTCAGAGCTATGATTGACAAGTCAGCTATTTCCCCCTTGCCTCTAGTGAATTCTGCCGTATTTTCTAGTTGAAATGCATCCTACTCAAAATCAAGATCATTTAGCTTAGGGGAGATAATTATTTTATGGGAAGGAGTAAACCCTGAAAGGTGCACAAATCAGACACGATTTTCCATAATTCGATCATCCCTCTGCCTCAACATCAACTAATACCTTTGATGAGCTGCATAGGCATACTGGTGCTATATATAGAAAAGTTGAGCCTACTGTTGCAAATGATAAATTAATATAGTACCGCCATTCACACTGCTGGCTGACATATATTTCAATCTGCAGATAAATGAGAAAGAAAAACTCTAGTTATGCAGAAGGAGAACAAGTCATTCAGTAAGAATACAGATGACCTCGCAAGCTGTGCCCACTGTAGTGCAGAATTATAGGTATTCCTCAAGGAAACAAGCCAGCACCATATTCTTCCACTCTCTGATGATGTTCAGTGATAGATTCTACAAATCCTCCTAGATTTCCAAAAGCCAACACAATCTTAAATTGCCAAAGAAAAGAGCATTTTCAAAGCCATTTAAAGACTACAAACAAAACAGAGCAGCAAGGTACAGCTAATGGTAGGTTTTGCTAACTATCCAAACATTATTTTTATTGTGATAAACGACACAGGCAAGTCAGACAGTCTGCCACGAATAGTTGCTTCAGTTTCATAAATCTTTAACTGTCTCATTTGGAGGGGAAAGCAAGAGTATTGCTTGATTTTTAAAAGCAAACAAATGTTATCTTATACCAGGGGCTGGAATTTTGTGGCCCTCCATATCAACACCTAACATTTTTGACCATTGAGCATAATGTCTGGGGCTGATGGGAGTTGGAGTTCAACAACATTTGGAGGGGTCACATGAAAACCCATTCCTGTACCAAACAGTTGGTTCATTAAAAAGTTATCCAATGTTCCTGCACAATCCCATTTATTTATTTATTTATTTATTCATTCATTTCTTTTCTGAATCATCCTTCTTCCCAAAGAAGCCCAGTGTGATGTAAAACAAAGAACAGAACAATGAAGTACATCCCATAAATAAAACACGAGATAACAAAAACAGGAATAAAATATCAAAGCGAAAGCACAAAAACTACCTGCAGCTGTTAAGTTTTAGAACAAGTATTATAACAAATTAATTTATAAAACCTGGCCAAAGAAAAATATATTCTGCTGAAATCTAAATGTAAAAAACCCCCTTGGTGTCCCTTCCAACTCTACATTTCTATGATTCCATGATTCTATGAATCATGTTTCAAAGAGAAGAACATTCTGGATTCAGGTTGTCACCACAAAGAAGGCCCTTTTGCAAGTTCTTATACAATGAATTCTCATGGGGACTACTAGGAGAGTCCCTATTCTGCTGATATTAAGACTTCCTCCCTTTCTTTTCAATAGCCAAGGCAATTTCCACAAAACGTCTTTGTTGTCATTAATGAGACACATTTGCAAATACCTAGAAATGGTAAGTCTGTGGTATGTGCACACACATATATAATATCCCACCACCAGACCGGCAGTTTCCCACATGGTCAGCATGTCTTAGAAAAGATACAAAACTTACACACCTGTAACACAAAGCAACTCTGTTCAAGAAAAGCACACACAAACAGCACTAGCTAAAAACAGAAATACCCACCAATTTTTAACAAGCACTAACTAGAAAGACCATACACCTGCCAAAATTAAACAGCCAAGGAAATCGAACAATAAATGAATATGAAATAGGGTATACTGTACTTTGCAAAAAGCAAAAAGCAATTGGTGTGGAGGCTAATACAATAAATGTTCTCCACAGTATTTGAGCTAAATTATTACATGCCCCATTAAGAGAGAGATACTACTTGCTAAAAAACAATACACTTACTGTATAAATAAAATTTCATGTAATTTTGATGAAAGTACCTTCATTATGGGTAGTACTGAAATGGATTTCATTTCATTAAACTATTTACATACCGCTTAATTACGACAGACTCAAAGTGATATACAATTAACTCAGTAGAAAAAGAAAAAAGGGGGGAAACAACCTATAAATTCAGAACTCAGATAAAATGCCTGCTGAAATAATAATTTTAAAAGTATTTAGCATGTACTGGAATTTCCACAGGGAAGGAGTTTGTTGGACCTCAACTGGAAGGGAGTCCTATAAAATGTACACTGAACTGCAAATTACCACGACACTTTGCATTTATTTTTCCTCTGCTTAATGAGTACTTTAAAACATACTCTTCCACATGCACACCTGAAAGATTTCAAAAGATGAGTACCGATAGATTAAATACACCACTAAGTGATTTTTGTTAGGTTCCTCCTAAGAATCTATTTAAGAAGAAGTTTCCATTATAAAACTTAATGAGAAAACCTGAGCAAATACTGACATGCGAAAAAGATCGTTAGTGCTTCAGGAAAAAAGAGAAATAAAAGAATGCAATGCTATTTAAAAATGGAGATGGGGCATTAATAAGTCACACAAAGGTATTCTGGATTACCAGATATTAGCCTTAGATAAGCTCCATTTCTAGCAACACAAGACAGGTATATCAGAGAGAACAATTACAGCTATTAGACAAAGACCTCTCTTCCTGTCACAGTACTATTCAAATATTCAAAATATGAGCCTATCAGAGCACTTAATATTCATCAGAGATGAGACAGACTTTCTCTTGTGTGCCCTAAAATTACATTCTTTGTGCTAAAAGCAAGTAAGCTCAAGACGGAGCGTGTGCTTGGAGTTTCAATTTTTATGGCTAATAGTTTCTTTTTGCAATTCTCCCACCTCACACCCTGCTGGCGCCCCAGTAACTCTTATATCGGCTCTACAAAAGATCTAGATGGCTTCTTCACTGGGGTATTGCAGTATGTGCTGGCTTAATACAACAAACATCTATTTGGTCTCATAGGACTCACAGCAATAAAAAAATGCAGTCACTATGGTCAGAAAAGCTGAAAAAGAGTCACAGAAATTCTTCAGGAAGTATCCTAAGTTTCCATTTAGCACTCACTACTCCCGTCACCGTGTTTAAGAAATAATGTACCAAAGCTTTTAAGACCTTAACACACATCTGCATGCTAAAGTAAATTAGGTAAAGGCTCAGCCGAGAGACTCTTGTCCATGATTGTTCATGGGAGGACTGCCAAAGTAGATGAAGCTAATTG